ATAAACACCGCTTCGTTCAACTTTCCTAAATTACATCGCCATTTACAAACAATCAGACCAATCAGAGCGAGTCTTACAATAGCCCCTGGTTCTCGCTTGTATCTGTGGCGCTGCAAGAGGCCTGATAGACTCGCTGTGATTGGTCTGATTGTTTGTAAATGGCGATGTAATTTAGGAAAGTTGAACGAAGCGGTGTTTATGAAAAAAAATCTTTTAAGAAGTGAATAATGATTGAAGTGAAGGTGAGATGTTTATGTTGATAGATAAGTGTTAAAACGCCCGATCATTTTGCGTTTTGTGGATAAATTTTTGGTCACATCAGTTGGACCATTTCCATAGATTACATCTATGGCAGAATGTGCTATAGCCCTGCGGCAGCGATCTGTGGGCTATAGTACTAGAGCTACCCTAACCCTAACCCTAACCTTAACACACTTTGTGATACCTAGGCTAAGGTTATACTTTATGACTTAGGGTTAGGGTTCGGATTTTTGCATCATTCCTTGATATACGGAAAGTCTGTGCATCAGTTGATGATACACAGAAATCTGTGCATCAGTTGATGATACACAGAAATCTGTGCATCACTTCGTGATACCTAAGGTGCCTAAAGTGGATTTGCGCCGATAGATAGACCCTAGCTCTAGCCTCTAGTAGTACTATTACTATAGCCCGCTTACATTGACTGCCGCTGGCCAGCATCAGTCAATGTAAGTGGGCTATAGTACTAGAGCCTAGAGGCTAGAGCTAGATAGACCCAACATTTGCAGGGTGTCACTTTCCCCCTGGCGTAGATGGAGGGTGCCGCTACGTGGGAGCACTAGTCACTTCGTACACTTATTTCCCTATATTATCATATTATTATATTATTATACCCTTATTTCCCTAACCCTAACCCTAACCCTTAATCCTATCCCTAATCTTAACACTAGTGCTGCCACGTAGCGGCACCCTCCATCTACGCCCGGGCGAAAGTGATTCCCACATTTGCAACAGTGTCAGTGAGTCGGACTGTCACTGAGTGTCAATGAGTCTGTCAGACTGCCGTGGTGACAGTGTACTTACTGCTAGGCTCGGGCCGTTACTGTTACTGTTGCTCATAGGGTCTATGTCCCCCAGGCCCAGGGTACTGCTGGAACGTACCTTGGGTAATACCGGACCGTACCCTGGTAACTATCTGATATGGTTAGGGTTAGGGAGTGGGCGTAGGCGACTCCCTAGACTCGTTAGTGGAGTAGGTGAGGTATGGTCCGGCATATTAGGTAGTACCAGCAGGGCATATAAATGCTCTGGTACCAGGGTACGTTCCGGTATACCGGACCGTACCCAGGGTACGTTCCGGCAGTACCCTGGGGGACATAGACCCTCTCAGCGTTACTGTTAGGATTGTCTCTACTGTGTAGGATGAGTCCGTAGTCTGTGGATTGCAATTGCTAATTTGATGGTTTTCATTCTTTCAATGGCGCTTGCGTAATCAATGCGCAATTGGCATGTAATTGTGGGCCTGTTGTTAGCTCATCTGACATAGTCAGATGCAGCTTGTAGAATCGCATGATCGTCCGTCCGTCCGTCCGGTGGCGACGCGACTCCGATCGCGGTACCGTCCAGACCGTCCAACAGTTGGGCACAAATCTTAACGCTCGACGTACGGTCAGCACGATCATTCGGGACGTAGGGGGGTATGCCGAACGAGTTGGGATGTCGAAGCGTGGGGGGTCAAAGTATGTCAAAGGTCAGAGGTGTAAAAGAAGGGGGGGAAACATTCCTCCTTAACTTAAGGTAGTAAGGGAGGAAATGCAGAATGCCGGACAAATCTAACAGGCTCGACCATATGCTCGTGATAGTCGGTTGATGTTAGCATCTGGTAGGAAAAAGCCATCAACTGTGCTTGCACAATTGGAATGGTCACAGGTCAAAGGTCAATCGGGCACAGGGCAGATTTTAGACATTTCTGGACGACAATGGTGTGAGCCTGCAGCGATTGAAAAACTTATTTTGTTTCAGGCGGTGCCTACATTTTTATGGCTTTACATTGAAAGAAACCACTTGAAGCATCGTGCTTCTGTCCAAGTGAGCGTGGGCGAAAGAGTAAGTGTCTTGATAACCTTTAAATTGACCCTCGAGAGGAGGGTTAAACATGGATTGTGTTGAAGCTGTAACAAAGGAGTGACACTGCTTTTGCTTAATTAGAGCCCCTCCCCCACCCCTCACCCCCGCCCTAGCCTGATTATTGGTTAGTGGTTATTGGTTTGGGTTAGGGTTGGTAGTGATGTACGATTCATCGATATACTCGATCATGGCTTGAACAGGTGCGACTCCGAACCAAGCGGCTTGGTTATCAAAACTCGCATAATCGATTAATCGGAAAAACAAAAAAAAAAAAATATTTTTTTTTTTTTTTAAATTTGAACAAGAAAACTTGGAAAAAGTTCATAAGAATCAAGTACATGTATTATACACACCAGCTAGTAGAACAAGTTTGCAAACAACAGTAAAGCAGGGCGTAAACAATCACAATACAGATGGCACACACGTAACATGCACACGGACGATTACGCACACCGCAGGCAATTCAAAACCCCGAAGTAACGATTGTAACCGATCATCGCGTTACTGGGGTCAACGATTGGATCGAATTTACGAATTACAAACCGATTGACAACACTAGGTTAGGGTTAGGCGTTAGAGTTTAGAGTTAGGGTAGAGTAGTAAGGCGGTGTAGCGTCACTATATAACAGAGAGTTGCGCCATGACGAGTCGGAAAAAATCTGGTCACCGTGTGGTCGCTGGAGACATGTTGTTTTCAAACTGGATGACGACACGGCCTATGGCCGTTAAGAAAGTGTACAATTAACTATTATCATAATGCCGCGGCGGAACGATTTGAGTTACATTTCTAGAAATCTAATACACATAAGACACATGTCTTAGCTATAAGTTGCATCTCTGTAAATTTTTGAGTTTTATTGAAGCACGTTAGCTCTACATAATTATTCACGGCCATGTACAGCGTATACTATCCATACAGCAGCTGTAGTTAAGCGGGCAGCGGTGAAGGATCCATTTGGAAACAAAAGGTGGCGTCAAATCCTGATGGTTGGCCCGCAACTCTCTGTATACCAGGGACCATAGGGGGTTAGGCGTTAGGCGAGCTGCCTAGACTCGGTTTAGGTGGCAGTGGCGGTAAGTGGTCCGGCCTATCTAGATAGTTAGCTATTTAGTCCAGGCGGTACGTTCACGGCTAATACGCGGACCGTAGCCAGCAAGGCACGTTTAAGCATTATCAACTGTAAGCGCACGCCGCCGCCATTCGCTGTTACACTAACACATATATAGTTGAGCAGGTGCGAAAGCGTGCGCAGGATTATCTCGGCTCGACGCCTTGATACACACGATACAAGACAGAATACTCGAAACCTTACGACTCCATCTTTTGCTTCCTAATTGAAGTTCAGTCTTCACTTGTTGTCGAAATATCAGTGTCTCAGCTTCGCCAGCAGGCTGCGTGTCACGCCAAAATCAGCGGATTAAATCATGAAATCGTCGGATCTCTAGCGTGCGTTGGCGATGTGTAACAATTTAAGTACATGGCGGAGCGCGGCACTGCATCTTGGGTGAAACCACAGACGTTGTTTCAATGGAATGTGTGTACAATCGCGCGCAAGCACGCTAGGAGTCGCAGAGAATTTCATGATTTAAATTCTGATTTCGTACACAGCTCTTGCTGCGAAATGAGACAATAGATATTTCTACAACACAGTAAGCACTGTACTTCATTGCGAGGAAGATGGAGGTCGTAAGTTGAGTATTTTCTGTATGTAATCGTGATGTAATCAAGCGAGCGTCCGAGCGAATTCGCCTGGCGCCCGGCTTGTCGCACCTTGTACTGTTATATAGTATTTTTTAGTGTACGGCAATGGCGGTGCCCATGCGCTTACAGTTGATATGCTTCAAGTGCCTGTGGTACCCAGGGTACGTTCCGGCAGTACCCTGGGGGACATAGACCCTATCAGCTATACTGCATTACTATGAACTTGTCCTAGACTTGCATTTAAAATGGAATAATTTTGCTGTAAAATGGCACTATTTTCCTGTTTTCCTGTTATACACTATGTATTATTAGCTCTTGATAATTAATATACCGATTGGTTTTGTTGTAGGATATACAATTAAAAATCGACCAAGCAGCAACAGCAGGAGAAGAGTTTTCCAAGTACTATTATGAGTGTTTCGATAAGAAACGTTATGTAAGTTTCAATTAACATGCTTTCAAGTATGGAATTTTCGCGAGAAGTAAACGGCTATGTCACGGCAGGCATGTGCCAGCAAAGCATGTGGGATGGTGTGTTACGTCATGCCACAGGCCCTTGGAGGCTCAAGTTTCAAGAAGAGTATAAGAGCGAAGCGTGGTCTTATACTCTTCTTGAAACTTGAGCCTCCAAGATCCTGTGGTCATGCACATAATCTACCTAATAAACTAAGCCACATGTCAACTGCCAACAAACTCAATTTCCTGCAGAACTGGCAGGGGTATAATATTAGAGTAAATTAGTGGGTTTAAAAATGTATCAACTTCATATTTATACACAATAATTTCACACCTATGCACAAAATGCAGGTGGCATAGTTTATTATGTAGGTTATGTGCATTATGTAACAAACTACCCAGCACGTGTTCAGTGTTGCATATTCTCTTACAATTTTCATATTTAAATACTTATATTTATTCACTCGAATGTTGAAAGATCAAAGTTCTTACGGTGCTAATTATTACAAATATGAGTGATTGACATATAATAGCACTCTTTATTATATGGTTTTAATGTAGACCTACATATTTTTGGCAGTTGCTACACAAGTTGTATATGGATAATGCAACCCTTATATGGAATGGCAACCACGTGAGTGGCTCTAATGACATCATGAAGTACTTTGAGCAGTTTCCGACAACAGAGACAACGTTAGAGTCTCTAGACTGCCAGCCTATTCTTGGTATGTTACCTTATTTAGATACATTCAAGAGTACCGTGTAAATTTTTGGAATTTTCGAGCTAGCAGGAAGTTCGGACAATTGCTAGCAAGAATTGCCTCTATAAGCAGTTGCAGAGAGGGGATTATTTATGTAACATACGGGAAGTTTTAAATTGCAAAACGAGTGTGAGCGTTCACGTATTGAAAGTGAATACCACTAACAATAGTAACTCTACTAACACTCATTCATGATTAGACTGCATAAACGCATCAATTTCCCTTGTCTTTTCAGATGAGGCCGTGAACGGGCAATCGACGATCCTTGTCGTAGTCAGTGGTGTAGTGAAGTATGAGCGGGTCAAGACTGCAACGTTTCAACAGAACTTTATGCTCACCGCCCAGGGCACAGTGTGGAAGGTGGTAACCGACTGGTTCCGGTTCCAGGAGCCACTTCGAACGTCGTAACCTTGACGCCAGAAAATAGTTTTGATCGCAGAAGCCTGCAGGATGTTCCGCACAAGAGAGCGGTCCTATTTCGAAATTTTCCGTCAGTATCGCGGTGGTCACCGAGAAACATGGCGAGAGCAATAGCAATTTGTGTGAGATGCTCTCCTACTATTATATATACCTGACTATGATATAGTCGTAATAATGCATTGGTGTTGTCAATTGTCATCATTGCTGGTGAAATTGATGTTATATATATGTGTGTGCATTTGTCATATAGCTATATTTTTATAAGAAATATTAAGCAGGCATGCAAAAAGTCAAGTGATTGCATTTTCTGTCAATATAATAACATTTTTATTCACAATCATTTCTTTGTCAGTATAATAAATACAATAGTTGTATATTTGTAACCTTCAATTTCAAAGCACTATGATTAAAAACAAAAATAGCCTACCTGCTTGCAAAACAAATCACTGTATCCAACAACAAAACTATGTACATACACCCAAGCTGTGAAGCAACCGAAAGCACATCTTCTGAATGTGCCGAATCTGTGCTCAATGTTATTTCATTCTTGCAGTCAAGTTTAAATACCATTTTACATAGTTTATATAATTGTTGAGAATGCCACTATTGGATGGAGGTAAATCCAAGTATTTACAAGTAGCATGTTACACTGCCATCGAGAGATCCAATACTTACAATACAATGATTACAGAATGTAAAAGGCCTCCATTTTCTGTGCATCGTAATCTCACAGAATAACACTGCAATTAGTAGACTGGATAAAATTAATCCTCTCCTTACAGTAGCATAAAAAAAAATCTAAAACAATTATCACAGACATCTCACAATTTACACAAGTGCTATTGTGCAAGGTCAATTCCAGGTTTTCTCCTGAAATCATCCAGTGCAAACTACTGGCATAGCCAAGTGGCTAACAAATAGGGTCTCATTTACTTTCGTCTGTGCGTGGCATTTCTTTGCCTTCTAGACTGGGTGGGCATAAACAAGGCAGATAAGTACACGTACACAAACGTCAATGCGTGTTGTAGTACGCATAAAAATACGTATTTAGAAGTTTCATATCTAACATCGTCAAAAATGTAGGACAACAGTCTGACATTGGTATGTACTTCATCCTGTACACAATGCTGATCAACATCTATAATTCTCTTGCCAAATGGTTTTCATGCCAAAGCATCAAACTAACAACTACGCAACAGATCTGGAATTACTAACTACGTTTTTGTGTGCTGTAAATTTCGCTACATGCAAAGAGCTGCTAATCTACACTGCTATATGCATGTACACGGTGATCTAAAATAGGCTGAACCTCCAATTCTGATGGATTAAAGTTAAAATTGGAATCCCTCCTCACTGGTTCTTCTTGGGTGTTACTCATTACTTGTATATCGCTGACCTATATTACAAAACGCTGTGCCACACAGAATATATCACAATAATGAAGAAGCAAAGCCCCTAAGAACCTTGGCTACTTTCCTAGAAAACAAACATTCACTAAATATAGATCGAAAATGGCATGCTGTACAAATTATGCACGAAGACTGCAAAGAATGACAAATAGAAAATTATTTTCATCTTTCATTGCCACACCACTGCTGGTGTTTTCACAATTAATAATGTCGTGCAAATATACTGAACCCTGTTGGTTTTGATTTTCAATATTGATCACAGAAGAACTTGGTAAAAGAGAAATGACCAAGGGGCAAGACATCAAGTAACCTGTTACATTATGTGCAGCAAGACTGGAACAATGCCTCAGCAATGCCACCTAGAGATGATGAATAAAAGATAACACCCTGTGAATATGTAAGTACTGTATACACACACGCACGCACGCACGCACACACGGGCACACACACGCACGCACGCACACTTGGGCACACACACACACACACACACACACGCACACACACGCACACACACGCACATAGTACTTGCCAGCGATATACTTTACATACTAATGTGTTGATTAATAAACCACTACTGATTGCGATGACTAGCACCTTCCCTCTTCCATCTGATCCCAGCATTCCCTCTGACAATAGGCAGCACGTTTCACAGTGACCATCTTCACAGCACCATATAATGCCAGAGGGTAGTAGCACACTATGGTAATTTCCCCTGGTAGACCAATCACACTTTTGTTCTGTGACTAGGTACCAAGAAACCACATGAAGGTACCAAGGCACAACTAGCTGTGCGCCGCAGAGCTAGAAGCAAGGAGCCCAACATGTCACATACCGGTATGCTGGTAGCTGCTGCCCATCATACAGGTATATATACAAGCAGAAGGTGTCACGGGTCATGAAGCTATATCAGTAGGAGACGTCAAGGTTTCTGCAAGTACACCAGCAGGGGGCGCCACAGGTCATGCAGATATACTGGCAGGTGGCGCCACGGGTCATGCAGATATACCAGCAGGTGGCGCTACGGGTCATGCAGATATACCGGCAGGAGGCGCCACGGGTCATGCAGATATACCAGCAGGGGGTGCCACGGGTCATAGAGACACACCAGCAGGACGCGCCACGGGTCATACAGGTACGCCGAGCGGCGGATCGTCGTCCACAAACTCCCAGCCGTCCGACGCCGGCGACACAAAGCTGCTGCTATTCACGCTCGCAAACGAATTCACGCTGAGACTCGGTCGAGCGCCGCTGGAGCCGCCAGGGGGCGCCTGCATGACGAACGACGCCGTCAGCGGCACGTCGGTCGACCCGTTCAGCGACACCTGCATGACCGCTGCAGGCGACGCCGACCCGCCAGGTGGTGCTTGCGTCGTGTCCGGCTGTTCGACGGAGTCCGCCGGGCAGGTGATCGGCGGAGGGCTGCTGCCAGGGGGCGCCGTCGCATCGCCGTTAGCCTGCGGGGCGGCCGTTGAGGAGGCAGCGTCGTTTACGACGTCGGCGTCCGATGGCATCCGTGTGCTGTCATCCGCAGACGACTGCTGCGACGTGAGATCTGACACAGAGCATGTGTCGGGGGAGGCTACCTGTTCAGGAGAGCACGTGTCGGGGGAGGCTACCTGTTCAGGAGAGCACGTGTCGGGGGAGGCTACCTGATTGTAGTGGATGCGCCGATCGGCGGAGAGCTACCTCTGTATGTGGCCGAGCAACGCATCGGGGGAGGCTACCTCTGTAGTGGAGCACGCATCAGGGGAGACTACCTCTGTAGTGGAGCGCGCATCAGGGGAGCTTAGCCTCTTCGTAGTCGAGAGCACGCATCGAGGAGCGCTTACCTCTGTTGCGTGCAGCACGCATTCGGGGAAGCTACCTCTGTCAAGTATGCAGGCACGCATCCAAGGGGGAACTACCTCGTGTAGTGCGATGCGCGGATCGAGCGAGAGGACATACCCTGTCAGGAGAGCACCGATCAGGGGAGGCTAACCTGCTTCGAGGAGAGAACGCATCAGGAGCAGTACCTGTCAGGCAAGCATGGCGCCCGTAGGGGGAGCTACCTGCTTCAGTGATGAGCAGCGCGTCAACGGGAGGCACTCTGGTAGTGCGAGGCAGCATCGAGCTGCGAAGAGCTCGGGCGCGGGAAGGCGTCGCTAATTAGCGCGTCGTTCTGTGTCCAAGGAGAAGCTCGCCATTCTGTCGAGCCGCGTGTCCATCTCGATATGCGGCGATCTCGCCGTTCAGGCATGGCTCTGCGCGCGGCCTTGATGGTTCGCTTCAGTGACCCCGGCGCCCGCCTGTACAGCGGGCTGCGCGCAGCCGCTGTCCACTCGAAGGCGACGATGAGCGTTAGTCGAGCCTTTTCCGCATCCGCGAGCTATCGCTCGCAGCAGCCGGGCGGTCACCCGGCGCGCGCGACTCGCGTAGGCGACAGCTCCGCCTCGCCGCTGTACGTGCCCGTGCGTTCTCCGGGCACCCTTGCGGCCGCTAGCCTGTCCGTCAGCTTGGAGCCACGTGCCTGCGTGAGATCGCGCGCACAGCTCTGCGCGAGCGACGGGCACTTCGCGCATCGCCTCAAACTCTGCGCACGACGCCCCTCCATCGGCGCAGGCCGACTCGCACGTGCCCGCTCGAGAAGCGCGTCCATCATTCAGCAGCAGCCCATGCGGCCGGCCGAAACGTCTTGCGCGGCCGGCCGGATGCTGTTCAGCCTGTCGCTCGCGTGCGACGGCATGTGGTGTCGAACGACGGGTCGAATGTTGTCGGTGATGCCAGTCGGCTGGCGAGGAAGACGAGATATCCCGGCGACCGGCACAGGTCATTCGAGCATGTCGATGTTGAGTGCAGCGGTCGCGCGGTTGAGGGCCGTCGACCGGGACGAGGGCGCCACCGGGGTGTGCGCAGCGCATCCGCAGTCGCTGCTGAGGTCGATGGCCGAAACTGCGGAGGGTCACGCGTCGAGGTTACGTCGAGCGTCGCGATCGGAGCGTATTGCAAGAGTCATCGCCCGAGGATTGCTAACGTCACCAGCGTGACTCAGGCAGAACGAAAGCGAACGCAGGAGTACATAAAAGGCAGTTCTGTGAGCGCATGGATAGTACTTATCGGCGGCTAGGCAGCGAGGCACAGTCGTAAAAGTGCGTCGAGTCCGGCGAAGAGAGAGAGCTCTAGTAGCTCGTGGTTGAGGTATTACACAAACAATACAACATTCTGCTAATAATAGTCATCGTATTAACAATTAATACATCATCTAGTTGCGTGATGAAGTATATATTCCCACGACAGCCCGTCCCCTTCTCTCCTTTTTAACACGTATTCTTACACCAACCCCCGATACGAGCCTTCGAGATTGACTGGACCTCATCTTTCGTATTAACCCATCACTCTCCACCAGACCACCCACAACACACCCTCGAATGACCAGGGCTCCTCTTGTAGACCCATAGGACCCTCCTATCAATTTCATATCAAGAGCTAATGATACCAGTATAATTAAAATCTAATCAGTATACAGTATAATATCTAGTATGTATAATATTCTGTATAACTAATATTATTAGTATCATTAATATTATTATAATCATATATATAGTTTAATTAACATTATGATTATTACCACCTATAATAATAATAATCGTATTCCCCCACACACGCACCTTCAGTGGACTTCGATCCCTTCTTCTCCACGCCACGCCACAATCCCTGCCTCCACAACCCACCCCCGCACCTCTGCCGACCTTCGCTCACCTTCGGTGACCTCGAATGCGTCCTGCGACTATGCGGTTGTAGACGTCAAGCGTAGCTGTCGCCGAACGTTCGTCCGCAAGAAGCCGTACTTGTCTAGCAGTCGCGTATTGCGGACAGCCGAACGCGATGGCAGAGCGTTCAGGAAAGCCGCCCAAGACCAACTGCCCGCTACGATGATCGCCGCGCTTGTGCCGAGGTCGAAGCTCCGACTTTCACAGCAGCAGGAACACACTCCTGGAACGAACAACAACGCAAGCACTCAATGAAGTCATTGTTCGAGTGTGACACACAATGGAAATGACCTCTTAAAGAAGAGCCGAGAAGCGTCTGCACGGCTCATTCTTGAGGTTGTTTCTGCGATATAAACCTAAAATTTCAGGATCTATCGTAGTAACCACATTTGTTAAGGCGCACGAATCGCAGCACGCAGTTGCCAGTAACATACATCATTGTTAGGACACGACCACGAATCCAGATTGAAAGGGTAGGGGAGGGTGGGGGTAAGGGCAGGGGGAGGGCGGGTGGGGGAGGGTGGGGGTAAGGGCGGGGGGGAGGCGCGCGTGCCCCTGGCGGGAGGGGCCTCTAATAGCCAAAGCAGTTTCACTCCTATGCTTTAACAGTCAACAAATCCATGTTGAACCCTCTCGTGAGGGTCAAAAGTTTATCGACACTTACTCTTTCGCACGGTCAGTGGAAAGCAATTTCAATTGGTCCTTTTCAATTACATAAGCCATAAAAATGGTAAGGTCCCCGCTGAATACAAAAAGTTGTTTCAATCGCGTCAGGTTCAACACAGTGTCCTCAGGAAAATGTCTAAAAATCTGCTGTTGCCCCATTGACTTGACTCCAATTTCGGCCACAGTGATGCTTTGTCCTACCGATGATGCCTCTACACCGATATCACGAGCCTAAGCGACGAGCCGTTTTAGATTTGTGCCGCATTCTGCATTTTCTCCTATACCTTAAGTTAAGGAGTGAATGTTCCCTTCTATCTTTTACGCCTCTTGACCTTTGACATTTGACCCACCGCTTCGAATCCCAACTTCGTTCTTGACGATCCCCCCCGAAAAGATGTGCCGAATCTCGTGACCGTACGTCTGCACGCGGAGTTAAAGATTTGTGCCCACACTCGTTGCGGCACCCGGCAGACGCCAGCGCGGCAGGACGGACGATACATGCGATTCTACTCAAGCTGATCTGACTATGATTCATATGAAGCTAAAATAACTAATAGGGTTCCTATAGGAGTTATGCTTAGAGACCTATAGAGCTTCTATAAAGAGCTGCTCATATAGTGTTTTGAAACTTACACCTTATAGGTTATAGGACATATAGTGCCGCCGGCGGGGGATCGGTCTGCTTCAGCTCTTGTGTTATAGGCTACTACATTTCTATAGGTGTCTCTATTAGTTTTTGGACAACACCTACTACAAACCTTAGAGCCTTTATAGACCTATAGTTGCTCTTAAGTTTTGCAACTTTACACACCTACTTAGGCATTATAAGACCTATAGATTCGTAAACTAGGACCGAGTATTGCAGGACCGTAGTGGGCCTTCCAAAAAGTGCCACTGCAGAAACTATGTATCGACATGCGGGCGGTGCTGGGAGTCTCCCCATTAATAATTTTGAAATGTATGAGCCCTGGAAATGATTTAAAGGTCATTTGTTAAATTTCAAAAAGGAATGTAGCAAAGCTGATGTTTGGAACTAGATTATAAGTATCTAAATATATATTAATGGTATGTTAACTAATAAAACATTCTACAAAATTGCTATATACTTCAGTACATATTATGAAATAGCTATTTTTCAATCTGGCATTAATAATAATTCACTGATGTAATCTGTTGTTTTGAGTGTCTTGAATTATTGGAATAGAACGATTGTAAATATTAAATTACACTTCAAATATTTAGAGCACTGATATACTTCTAACTCTGCATCATGTATTAATAAGAAATACGAGCAGATCCAGTCGATAACAAATTGTCTTTCTTTTTTATAATTATCCAATTTTATCTTTTTCTACCTGGATGGACTTACAAATTTGAAATTAATCCTGTTATCGTACCTTACTCTAACATGTACGGGTGTACATGTGATCCTTGCATTGTTGAGATTACTGGGTCGTGCTGGGTCGAGGGGGATGGCTCGTATACTATTGCCATGAGAGGTATTTTGCGCGGGAGGACCCAATTATTAACCTTACCCTAAACTTCCGTTCAGTGCATTTTTTTTTATATCTGTTCCAGTATTATGTTTTAGTACGCTGAGAGGCGCTCTTGATCCCCGGGTACTGAGGAACGTACCCTGGCGTACGGTCGGTTACCGCGAACGTCCCTCGGTACTATTCTAATATTCCGGACCGTACCTCGTTACGCAGTCTTAGGAGTCGCTACGCATTCTCACCTAACCCTAACCCGAACCCTAACCTAATCCTAATCCTACCTATCAAGTAGTGTCAGACGTACGTTCGGATATACGAACACTCTCTTT